TTGACCCACTTATTTCCCAGCTCCACCCTCCAGCAGGATACCACTTCACTTCTACCAAATGCCTTCAGAATTAATTAATCTCCCATTGTCTTACTAGCTTGCAGAAACACAAGTGGGCATTAGTGTTTGAGGTAAGTTTTCCCAGGCAGAAAGCCTGGAGGAAAGACACCCATCTTAGGCATGAAGGTGAGCTCTGTGCTGCCTATCCATATGAAGCTGGCTTGCACATGTGTCCTTGCCCAGCCTCACTTCTCAGATGGAGGTGTGGAAAAGGCCTCTTGGGCCAGCTGTGAGAAGTCCATGAGAAAACACCTGCAAAGCTTGTTGCACACCACACACAATGAGTGCTCAGTGATGTTACAGATGCAGGGATATAGGAAGCAAACTTACCATGATAGTGAGGGCTGTAGAATGGCCAACACATGTAAAAATGGCATCCTGTGCAAAGGAAACTAAGCTTTGCAATTCATCATTGTCAAATTAAAATATGAAAGCATAATAATGTGTCTTCCAAATTTTAGATGCTGAGTTCTAACCCTCATGGAGTTCTCCCTTGTATTTAGGGAAGTGCCAGTGAAGCCACCTTGGTGGCACTCCTGGCTGCTCGGACCAAGGTGACTAGACAGCTACAGGCAGCATCCTCAGAGCTGACTCAAGCGGCCATCACAGAGAAGCTGGTGGCCTACTCCTCCGACCAGGTGAGTACAATGGCAACCTGCAGTCCAGAGAGGCCCTCTGAGCGGGAATGTTTGGCTTAAAAACAAATCAAAATAAAATCATTCAGGGTTATTTCAAAGCCAGAAAGTGGGGCTGCTGAGATAGAGCCCTGCCTGAAGGAGGAGTACATTCTCAGATGAGAAGTAGATCAAGTGGAAAAGAAAATTCACATGCTGAGAAAACCTCCTGACCATCTCAGCTCGGTTCTTCCAGCACTAACTTAATACTGTTATTGCTTGGCCTGCCTTCAGAGGGGAATCATGGGAACCTTAGACACAGGGCCTGAAGACCTGGCCTCAAGTCTCAGCTCCATTATTTTAAGTTTAGTGGTCTCAAGAAACTCTAAACTTCTGTCTCTTTCTCAGCAAACAGGGAAACACCCACTTTTTGATGATGCTCAGTTTATCCAGGGACAACACAAAGTAAAGAACAGAAGATATTTTATGAGGATTAAAGGGTTAAATACAAGCATTAAATATTATTCTGTTAATTAAACCATAAAAAAGAGGAAATATGTGAGCACCATAGAGGAGTTAGCAGCATGAGAATAACTCCAAGAGACAATCTCACTGAGAAGGTGGAATTTTCAAAAGAAATAGCTTGTTTAGCTTGCTGGCACATTTATTTTTAATATATTTCTTAAGCCAGACATCTTAATCATGATACATTGCTCAGATTGAAAGATTTAGCCTGAAACAAGCACAATTCTGTGTCTAGATGTTTGGTTAAAATGCTATCCATGCATTCTGACTATATATATTAGAACAAACAACACTTCAAGAATAGGACTATTTGATGGGTGAAGGGTGAGAGAAATTGAAAGAATTTGTTATTAAAAACAATGTATTAGAATTTTGTAAACAAACTAGTAAAAAAATTATAAAAAAGAATAGGACTCATTTGTATTTGAATCTTCCTTGTTTTTCATAAAGACTCAAGGGGTCTTAAAACAGAATGAGGATAGACACTCAACAAATACATGTTGAAAAAAGTTCTGTCCACTTGCACTTAAATTCTTACAAACTTCACAAAATTGACTCAATATTTTGCCTTGATGATGTCTGTTCCATTACATGTAAAAGGAAGGCCTGCTTTAAGTTGAAACAGTTGCAGGAATAAAGAACTCTTCCTGAAAGGAAGAAAAGAGACTCAGTCCATACACCATTGTCAGATGAGAGGGAGCAGGTGCATGTTCATGTAACGGTTCCCTGAAGAGCTCTGAGCTTCACAACCTGGCAGCAAGATCCTCATTCATGCACCCTAACTTTGCTACTGTTACCAGGCACACTCCTCAGTGGAGAGAGCGGGCCTGATTGGTGGAGTGAAGTTAAGATCCATCCCCTCTGATGGCAAATTCACTATGCGAGGTTCTGCCCTCCAGGAGGCCTTGGAGAGAGACAAAGCTGCTGGCCTGATCCCCTTCTTCGTAAGTTCCCCAGAACACTCTGAACATGACCAGGTAGGAATCTTCTATGGGGAAGGGGATGCCAGAGCTTCTGTCCAGGCATCAATGGTGGTCACAGGTGAGAGGATGTTCAGCTTTTCTGGTGCCAGCCTGCTACTCCTTGAACAAGGCTGGATAAAGACTCCACTTCCTTTTTGCTTAAGCATACTTTGATTTCAGAAACAAGGCAACAGAAAATCCCAGACTAGAGGACCCAGTTAAGGCAAGATGGCCTTTCTTTGGGGGGGGGGCATAGTAGATGCTGAGAATAATAAGAAATGTTTGATGAGTAAATAGAATAGAATGAAATGAAAAGCAAAATGTCTCTACTGTCTGTTGTTCTTAATGGAAGTGATTTTAATAGAACTGCAAGTGAGCAGCTACTAATTACAAATCATCTCTCTTACTTTTCAAATAGAATGTTTGTCCTCTTGTGCACCGACACACATTTTCAAAATGGGAATAGTTATTTGCCATTGCAACCAGAACGTAGGAACTATCATGGCCCTGATATGGCAATAGGAGTATGGCATGCCAAGGATGTTTGTCAGGAATCTGTTCACAGGTGCTGATCCAAGGCTCTATTCCCACACTGCACTACTCCTGCTTTATTTTCCCCCCAAATTGTTTTATCTATTCTATTTTTTACCTTTTTTAAATGTTTTATTTTTAATA